GTGCCAGGTCGAGGGATCGGCATGTGTGAAGGTACAGAGGTGGCAGGGAGCTTGGTTTGGTAGATCTGAGAGAAGACTTGAGTGCTGAGCTTTGGGGACAGTGGTGCAGAATGGGACTAGAGATGGACAACGATGAGATCAAGCAGGGACTATGGACATGGTGAGGATGAGGCTTTATTCCAGGTTCAGTCAGAGGCTCTGAGGGACTTTGAGCAAAGGAGTAATTGCTTTTTAGGACTCAAATTAAAGCATTGATGAATGACTTGGAGGGGTGAAAGAGTACATGTGGGGAGGCAGTACTATGGACTGAATGTTTGTGTCCCTCCCAAATTATGTTGAAGCCCAAACCCCAATGTGATAGTATTTGGAGATAGGGCCATTGGGAGGTAATTAGGTCATAAGGGTGGAGCCCTCATCAATGGGATGAGAGCCCTTATCAGAAGAGACCCCAGAGCGATTATCTCTTTCCACACAATGTGAAGGTACAGCAAGAAGATGGTCTTCTGCAAACCAGGAAGAGGACCCTTAGCAGGACCTTACTTTGGTCTTGGACTTCCCAACCTCTAGAAAGAACAGTGAAAAGTAAATTTCTGTTGTTGAAGGCACCAAATCTATGGTATTTTGTTACAGAGCCCGAGGTGATGAGGAGGCAGTGTTCTGGAACAGGAAAGAGATTATGAGTTCTGGAAATAGGACATGGTAGTGCCAGATTCTAAGTTGTATTTTGGCAGTAATATATTTGGAAGTAGGATGTGGTGGATTGGATGTAAGTAATCAATAAAAGGAAGACATTCAGGGGTACCTCTTTGCTTTCTCTCTTGGGTACCTGTGTGGACGGTAGTGCCGTTTGCTAAGATTTGAAAGTAGCATCTTGGGCATAGACATCAAGATTTCAGTTTTGTGCTTGTTGAGTTAAAAAAAGCTCAAGACACCCAAGTAGGGAATGGCTGACTGTTGGATATAAAAGTCAGGAGCTCTGAGGAGAGATCTGGATTGTATTGGGTTGCCGGAAAAGTCATGATGTATTTTTTCTATGTTTTCTGTTGCAAAAATGCGTCATGACTTTTCCAACAACCCAATAGATACCCACCTGGGAATCACCAACGTGTAGATGGGTTTAAAAACCATTTAGAGATTGAGTAGAGAAGCACCATCGTTTGTCCTGTCATGACCAGCGTTACCCAGTGCCCAGAGACCCTAGCCACAGTCTCTTCAGCTTTCAGACTTTCTTAGGGCCTCGCTATTTTGGTGACTCCCTCATCCTACCTCTGCCCTAGTACTGTTTACTTTCTTCCTTTTCATGGATATGCAGTATACACTGGCACCTAAAAAGGCATTTATGTTTATCGGTTCTTTGTTTACATTTTAATATAAAATGTTCTGTCCTTGATACTTTGACTCTCCTTGAAACTTTATAAAGTTGAAGTTGAGACACCCTTTAATAGGGATTAGAGTGGGATAGAGGTTCATACGTGGTACATAGAAAGGGATACCTGGAGACCAGGGTATCTGGAGGGGTAGAAAAGGTTTTGTTGGGGGGAAAATAGGCAGCTCCTTAGACATCTTCCCATTTCACAATGCGATTAGTGCCAGATTAAGCCACTGAAGCCATTCATCATCATCATGCTTCCACAGGCATATGCTGATTGTCGTGTATGTGGTAGGCATGTGCTAAATGCTAAGGCTTCTCAGGAATATGATGACCTGCTACACGGGTCTGTAGCAAGGACCAGGCAGCTCAGAGGTGGGCCGGTGCTGGAAGTGTCGGCGGAAACGTCATTTTTGGAAAGCAGACCCTAATTTTCCATATCATAGCTGTGCATTTTTATTTGTTCGGGGTTTAACAACAAGTACACTTACTTTTGATATGTGTCCTGCTGTTGACCTTATTTATTTCTGGAGACTGTTCTTTTGGACCTGTTTGCCCCTTTTGTCTCAAGTGCTCTGGCTCTATGGAAGGCTTCTCTCTCCCTTCAGTGCTACTTCCTACTGAATAGTTATTCAGAATAAGTGAACTCCATCAGACTGTTATTGCAATATCCCCTCTCCCTGCCCCGCTTCGCCTGTAGCCTGTCTTTGAATTGTGACATTGGTAGATCTTTTTTCCTACCCCATTCCTTTCTTTTGGTTGATGAACAGTTTGCTTTGTGCATTTTTTATCTTTAATGCAATAGCCTCATGTATTTATTTGTTCAGTCTGTCATTGAACAAAGTGAACAACTATTTATTGAGTGCCTACTATGTGTCAGACGTAAGCACTGAGCATATAGCGCTGTTCAAAGTCAGATTAGAATCCCTGCCCTCTTGGTGCTTATGTTCTATTGTGTCCCTTCCATTCCAACAACATCCACTTTATCTTTGCAGCAGTGATGATGACCTGTTGATTCATGATGCTCTACTTTGGACAATTTCAAGTGAGCTGCTGAATTCCAACCATAAAGCCCTGTTTTACCAGTGGGCACCCACTAGCTTTTGTTCTTGATTTGGGTAATTGCACTACTGTGTATATATTTTTATGTTTGTTTTGTTACAACTTCTTATCTTAGAAGGAAGAGTTGTCAGTCTGGTTTTGAAATTTGGCAGCCATTTATTAACACTGGTAATGGTATGATTTGGCAGCTGTGTTTAGTAATTTTTGAGTGGTGTTCATAGATCACTTTTTCTTTCTTTTTTAAGATTTTTATTGGGGAATTGAGGGGATGGGAACAGCACTGGGGAATTGGGGGAAGGGGAACAGACAAGTTGCTGTCGTTTTGTTCTTCAGTCTAGTTGTGGAGGACGTTGCTTCACTGGCCCAAGTTGGCACCATCATTGCGCTCTTCCCAGGCAAGGCAGATCAGTCGCCGGCTTCTGGACGGCCTCTCACTGCGGCTGCTGGCCGCTCACGCTGGCTGCTGGCTACACACGGTGGCCCATAGCAACCCACTGCAGCAGGGGCTGCAGCCTACGCCATCGCCAGCAACTCACGGCAGCCCAGCTCCAGGTTGAGCTGTTGTTCAGCATCTTAGCTGTGGAGGGCAGTGTCACTGGTCCTCATATGTGGGATCCGAACCGGGGCCCTCTGGCATCCCAAGCTAGTTCTTAACCATCGCATCACTCGGCCGGGCCTGTATGATTTTTATTATTAAAGTCTACTGAAAATTTGTTGAGCAGCAGTGAGATAAGATATCTTGGGGACATTCAGTTTTAATTCTAATGGTCAGCAGACCTGAAATAAATACCAGATTAGGTGTTGAGGCATTTTTCTTCTTCGTAGGTTCTTCACTATGAAAATCCTAATAGACAAAAATATTGCTTTAGGAAATGTATGAAATAGGAGAAAGAGTATGAATGTCATGATGGTTGGGAAAAATGTTTACCCTAAACGATTACATCTTTTGCTGGACACCAATAAACACTTTAAAGAGTTTTTATATACCGGAGAAGGATTTAAGGAAAGTGTCTATTAAGTGATACAGCCTTAGCCTAAAGAAAAATAAATTATGAAGTGGTCATGGACATGTTTGATTGTGTTTGTTTTGACATAGGTGATCTAACAGTGTTTTCTTGAATAAATTCCTGTTATCCCCACCAGAAATAAGAGTAGAAACAGGCTTGTATCCTGGGCATGGAAGACAGCAGGGCAGACCTGAGTGGGTATTGCCAAGACCTGAAGCCTAGGCATTCATCAGTGTTGGAGGATCCAGAGAGATGTTCAAGGCCAGAGCAGACAGAGAATCAGTAGGCCTGTTGTCAGTAAATAATGGGAGATTTAAGAGGTCAAAGTTCAGAGCCTGCCATGGAATCTTAAGAAGATGGGTCTCCAGGAGAAAACAGTGACCAGTGTCTCATGGCCAGAAGGTCAAAAGCAATAGCAGCAGCTGTTGTGACCCACCCTGGGAATTAGCCCTTGGCTTTGGGACACACCAGGCTACTGAGGAGCACAGAGGTGAGATAGGGCAGTGGTCAGGGTAAGCGCAGGTGTTGAAGGGATTTGATGTCAGCATGGCTATGGGTTATAGTGAGCACCAGTGCATAGATCTTCATTTTAATGAAGACTGGGTCTGTGGATCAGAGTAGATTCAGGCAGAAGCCTTTCTCTGCTCTGAACAGTGCTTTTGGAGAGGAGTTGACCAAGTTCTAAGATGACTGCAGACACTGGATGGCGTTGAGGCATAAAGCATATTTCTAACGTCATGTTGTTCCTGAATTTCAGCATTTGGGACTTTATCAGATAAAGCTTTATTTCCTTTAGAATAATGCCTAGCTCAAGGTGGACACAAAGTTAAGACTCTAACAATGAATAGCTAATATTTATTCAGCACTCACTGTGGTAGGCATTGTTCTAAGTGCTTTATGTACACTCTTCCATTTAACCCTCCCAATAACCCATTCAGGGAGATAGAGGCTGGCTTGCAGAGATTCTGATTTGAGCAGTAAGATAATAGAAAGAACCAGGTCTGATGCGCTTAGGCATGGGATTCAAGTATTCTCCACCAGTGGTTCTGGGTACTAAAGTTTATGGTTAGCCGTCCTCATTGTTTTATGGCCCATGACCATTTACTTTCATTGGCATATTTAACACATTCCACTGGTCCTGTGCATTTATTATGGCTGATGATTTTAATACCCCTTCAGGGCATCTTCTTAGACCACTCTCACGCTGGATGGTTCCCTTTTCTGATTTTCTACAGCTTTTATTTATTGTTTACATACATTTGGTCACTTGATTATATATATATATATATATATATTTTTTTGTAAATTGTTTAAATATTTTTTTATAAATTTAATATATGTAAATTTTGCCTCATCAACAAGCCTCTTGAAGTCTGTGTTGCTTTTGTATCTTCCACAGAGCTAGGATCCTTCTACATAATCCAATAAATTCACATAATATATTCTATACCTCTGCACCTTGATTAATCAAGTTGTAATCAATTGTTAAGAAATGGATTATTTTTATATATTTTATAATGTATGCAATGTTAATTTTTTTTAAAACAAATTTATTTTCACAGGGCAAACTCAGAAAATGAATCTTTTTCAGGCAGTAACAAGTGCCTTGGATAACTCATTGGCCAAAGATCCTACTGCAGGTAAACATCCTTTATGCTTGATTGTGGTAGCTGCGTTACTTCAGCATGGAAGATTTGCTGGAACTATCCATCTGGAGCTCAGTGATTAACATTTATCTACCTGAAATGCATAAAAGACCTCACCAAATGATTATGGTTACATAATTAAATTATTAACTCATTATTTTTTTGATCCACTCATTACGAGTTAGTTCTCATGTATATTTAACATCATCAAGTTGACTTTGTCCCATAGTACGTGTGATCCTGATATTATATTAATACCTTCTGGATTAATACCTACTGTGTACTCCTAGCATATAGAAAAAAATGGAAAATACCACTTCGTTCAGCTTTCTATTTATAAAATCAAGATTCAATTCTGTGCTTCTCTTTAGAATACATTGTCATTCAACTTGTAAGATTTTTTTGGGGGGAATAACTTTAGAAGTAATTTAACCTTTATTTTATCAAACTAAAGTATTGTTATAAAAACAGCTGTCCTGTTGTAAGTTTTCTAAATTTCATTGGCTTTATTTCATATATACATACATAAACATACAGCAAATTTAGAAAACATACTGCAGATATACTGTACACAGAGGGTGCCAAAAAAAAGTATACACATTTTAAGAAAGGAAAACTGTGTTAAAATTGTAATGCTCAATATATACTGATAACAAAATATGAATACAAGTCACGTTTGACTTCTGCAATCACAAGAGGTGCTCAAAGTGGTTACATTCAGTGTCTAGACACTTCTGATTATGACAAACTACTGCTTGAGCAATGTTGACCAAAGTGTCCACTTGTATACATTCGTTTTGGCACCGTGTGTATGTGTGTGTGTGTGTGTGTGTGTGTGTGTGTGTGTGTGTGTGTGTGTGTGTGTGTATTTATATAAAATGCCTTGGGCTTCTATTGAGAATCCCTAGTTTAAGATCTAGTGAAAAACAAGTTATCTTTTAGGAGGAAGTGACAGCTAGACTATTGGATAATTAGACCTTGCTCTGCTTTGAGTGTTGAGTAGAGAAGGGCATTATTTTCCTCAGACCCACAGAGCTGGTTAGGTGCATTAATGTAACTAGAAGTTAACACTATGAATGAATTCCCATTATTTTATTATCTTTGTCTTACTTCAAAGCTGCTCACAATTTGTACCTACACTATTCTTTTCCTTGCTGACTGTCCCACCATGCTTGCCCCCTTTCTGTTTCACACATTCTAAGTCACTTAACTATTTGTGACTCTTCTCTCAGCTTGGAATGTTTTGCCTTCAGCTCTTCCAATTGCTGACTCTCATTGTGTAATATACCATGTATTAAAAAAACAACAACCCAAAAAACCGCTGGCCAGGGACTCAGGAGCCTGGAGTGTGAGTCACAGTTCTGCTGCTTGCTTTTTGACTTGGCAAGTTACTTTACTACTTCTCTGGCCTCATTTCTTCATGGTAATACAAGATTAGATTCTGGATCAGTGGTTCTTTCTCAAATGGGGCGATTTTAATCCTCCCTCCTCTTCATGTCTGGAGACACTTTGTGCTGTCACAACTGTGTGTGGGGGGACAACTGTCATCCACTGGGCAGAGACCAGAGAGATGATATGCTGCTGTATATCTACAATGCACAGGATCGGCCGCTACACCAAAAGAATTATCTAGTCCAAAATGTCAGTGTCAGAATTGAGAAACTTTGATTTGGATCTATGGTCCATTGCTGTTTTCTAATTTAAAATAGAAACGTTGAAATTACTTATTTCTCATTGTTACTATCATTTAGGGATTGTTACATAAAATTCATTCTTTAAACATTGTTTTTCAGTAATATTTGGTGAAGATGTTGCATTTGGTGGAGTCTTTAGATGTACTGTCGGCTTGCGAGACAAATATGGTAAGTTAATATGTTTATGTGTGAATAGTATTCCCGTAGCACTTTTATTTAGAGATCTTGAGAATACAAAATATGCCTGTTATATTGTTTGCCACATCCTTATTGTACGAATGGGTTCCTTTTCATTTCCATAGCCCCATAGCCACCCACAGAATTCTTTGGCCTACATTTCTCCAAATGTCCTCTAACTGTAGTATCCCTCTGATTTAGTTCATAGCACACATGTTATATATTCCAAAATAATCTTCATTAAATGTATTGTTTATAATGTCATTCATATATATGTTCAGGAATATTTGATATCTTATTGCTGCCTGCCTTAGCCAATTTTAATTCCATTGCCTCTAGTTCAAGATTCTGCCCTATTCGTCTCTGTTAATAGATTTCATCTTTTATTACCTGTATTAGGGTTCTCCAGAGAAATAGAAACATTAGGATATATCTGTATATCTATATCTCTGTGTGTGTGTGTGTGTGTGTGTGTGTGTGTGTGTATATATATATATATGTATCTATATCTTCTCGATGTAAGAAACATCCAAACCTGTAGAGAATTTTCACAAAAATTTATTTGAGCCAAAAAGAGGATACACCTGGAAGCAAGATCTCAACAGAATGAGATAAATCCTTCAGAGAATAGTAGTTTACAGTTTCTTTATGCATTTGAAATTAAGGAAAGAATGTGAGAAAAACAACATGAAGGTGGGAGGAAGCAATGTGGAGGATGAGATTACAGGATAATTAACAAGATACTGTACTCTTTTGGGGTCTGTAAAAGGGTATTTCAAAGGTGTGCTAACCTAGTTTCATGAAAAAATGGACAGGGCTTAAGGCAAATATATACCTTTTACTAAAGAAGTTATATGTCTGTGGCGTGACTACCCAGGATGACCTGCCCAATTAGGAATTTATGATCAGATCACCCTGTGAGGTTATTTTCCATAGAGCTTCCCCTTTTTTTTGTCCACAATCTCTTTGTATGTGTGTATATATCTATATATCTATACCTATAAAGAGACAGAAAGAGAATGAGCAGGCTGGAAACCCAGACAGGGTTTCTATATTGCAGTCGTGAAGTTGAATTTCTTCTTGTGTGGGAAACCTGTCTTTTCTCTTAAGCACGTGATTGGATGAGGCCCACCCACATTATGAATGGGGTAATCCTCTTAAAGTGTACTGATTTAAATGTTAATCACATCTAAAAAAATACCTTCGCAGCAATATCTAGACTGGCATTTGACCAAACACCTGAGTACCATTGCAAGCCAAGGTGACACATAAAATGAACCATCACATTCCCCTTGTACATGTTTCATCCCAGCCGATGGCTTGCGATCGATTTCTGCTTCTTGCTTTCACTCATTTCATTTTGACTCAGAGTTAAAATTATCAGAATGCATTTTGGCCCATCCCAGCATTCTCACTCCTGACTTTCTACTTAAGGAATGTTTCAACTCTTGATTGTGAGGGATGCCTTGAGGTTGCTTTTGACCATTTATTTCTTCTCTCAGCCTTATCGAATCTGGCAAAGCAGTTAAATTTAGGGGGAGGTATTGATATCTACCTTTCTTACCTTTAACACTGCCCTGTAAAGCTCCTGTTGGCTGGCAGAGAAAGGGGTGAGGATCTTTAAGATTTTCCTTTCTAATTGTTGTTCCTTCCTGTTCCACTCTCCTCTGAATCTAAGAAACCATAGCATGTTCCACCTCACTTATCAGGAGCTCCCAGTAGTTCTTTTCTCTTCCTTTTATAGCAGGTTGATTTCCTGGGTCCTTTTATGTCTATTTCTAACAGCCATTTAGAGTTTGAGATAGTTGGGCCAATCTCAACTACCTCAAAATATCTCAATTAGTTCCAGCTAATTTAGACTTCAATAAACTTTATATCTTTTTAAAAATAATGTAAAAACATTTGATTTTAAAAGTAATGCATATGCATTGTAGAACATTTGGAAAATATAGAAAAGCATAAACATTTGGAAAATATAGAAAAGCATAAAGAAGAAAATAAAACATTGCCTGTACTTCCAGAGATAACTTAGAGAAAACCACTGTACATATCTTGGTATATACACTTCTAGACTATATTTGTAAATATTAACTAATATTTAAAACATAGAATTATACTTCCTGGTTTTTTCTTAGGACCTTTACCTCTGCTTACATTACCCTTCTGTTCTTTTATGCTGTCTGCTTTATCCATTCGAGTCTTTAGCGTATTAATTACAATTGCTCTATATTCCTGGCCTGATAAATCCTTACGCTATGTGGTTCTGATGCTTGCTCTGTATAGAGACCTGGCCCACAGGCAGATAAGCAGGCAGCAGTCAAGGTCTCCAGCTTCTTGGGACGCTGTGTGCAAGAGAGTGGCCTGCAGGGCCTGCCAGATGATTTCTCCCACAGAATGGTCTTCCTTTTACTGTACCTATGTAACCTTGCTTCTTCTCTGCCTTTCGGGCGGATCACTACTCCTCTGGCCAGCCACCATCAGAGACTCTCCCTGGTCTGTAAGCCTCAATAAACCTGTCTCACACTCAGCCACCTGGTGTGTTCTTTGGGCTGTGGCTTCTCGGGATCAAACCCGGAAACATCTCGGACTCAGCCCAAACACTCTGTCTCCTAAAATTGTGTTTTGTTATGCCATGTAACTTTTTCTTGATAGCCAGACATGATGTACTGGGTAAAAGGAACTGCTGTAAATAGGCCTTTAGGGATGTGGTGGTGAGGTGTGTGTGTCGGAAGCTTTCTATAGTCCTGTGATTAGGTCTCAGTCTTTTGGTGAGCCTGTGCATCAGGACTGGGAACGTTAAAAGTGTTTCTCAGTTTTTTCTATTCTCTCCCCACCACAAGATGGGGCAGGATAGTTAGAGTGGGCTGGAGTTGGGTATTGCCCGTCCCCCAGGTGAGATAGCTCTGATAATACCTAGAAGGCCATGCTCTGGTTAACTCATTTCACCCGAGGGCAAACCTTAAGAAGGATGTGTTTGGACGTATTTCAGAATGATTCTTGCCTGCTTCCCCTGCTGGAAGGGAGAAGGTATTTTTCTGTGGTATTTACTGTGGGAACCCAGTTGAGCTCCTGCAGGTAAGCCTCACAAAATTGTGGGGCCCCACTATCATCACTGGGTCCCCTGGAGTTTTTAACTCTCAGGCTTGTTCACACTGACCCTCCAGTAATTCGTCTTTGCAGTTCAGGTTTTCCTGCCTGGCACAGGTTCCTGTGGTGGCTTCAGCTCCTGGGTCTCTGCTGTATTCATGTGTCTGTCTCTCAATCTTGGGGGGCAGCGGTTTGCTCTTTGTCCTCCCCTCTCTTACAGGTCTAAGAAGATTTTTCGGTCTGTTCAGCTTTTTATTTGTTGTTAGGACAAAGTGGCCACTTCCAAGTTCCTTACCTGTGGAACTGGAAGCCAGAAGTTGAATTATACTTTTGTAACTTGTGTGCTATGTGCCGGTGAGTCAGCCTCAACTCCCGGGGACCTTATGAATGAGTGATGTGCACAGCTTCCTGTCCTCACTGCCCTGTTCAGCGTCTGTAAACGCATGCCTAGGGCTTCTTTATGGAGTCAATCTCTCTCATATTTGTTCTTCCTCTTTTCCTGATGCCGTCTGTTTTCCCCAGCATTATTACCTTGTCTATGTCTGGTATAGCTATGCTGTTGAGCAATTTCTAGCCTTCACGGTTTCATGTTGCCTGAGCCAGTGCGGTAGAATGCCACTTGCTTGTTTAAGCTTGTGAGTCTTCTGGTGGCTGTCTCATTCAGGTTCTCATCCATGCTGCTCTTCTGCATACTGTACCCATTCTGTCGGGGGCATTTCGTCCATGTCACCTTCTGCTCCCACACTGGTGACTTCTGATTTTCTATCTCTAGTCTAAACCTCTGGCCTGGACTTCAGATTTGTATATTCAATATACCTTCATTTCAATGTTCTGGTTCACTTGAGACTCAGCATTTGCAAACATATATTTTCAAATTCAGCTGAATTCATTATATCCGCCCAGCAGGTCTATGCCGCCCACTGCATTTTCTGTATTGGTGAACCTACCTCCATTCATTTGGTGACTTAAGCCAGAAACCGCGGAGACCCTAGTCTTCCTTTTCTCTCCGCCCCCACACCCAGTCGAGTCCTACAATTTTATCTTCACAGTTTGTCTTTAATACGACCTGTTTTTTTTTTCCATTCTTGCTGCCCTGGATTCTCACTTTAGATTCTTAATCATTTCTGCTTGGACAGCTTTATCATTTTTCTTGTTAATCACCTTCCCTCTGACACATTCCCCACCATCTTGCCAGTGAGGTCATTCTGAAACACACATTTCTTGGTGGGGTAATACGAAACACTGTGATCTGCCACCTACCTACCTATCTGGCCGCATTTACTTTTCTTTACCAAATATTCACTTTCCTAAGGCTCCGCCCCCTGGCCCCCTTTTCACCTTCTTTCCTTTGCACATGCAATTTCCATCTCTCTCTCCCATCTAATTAAGTAGTAAGCTATTTCACCTCCAGAAATTTCCTCTATAAAGTGCCTCCTGAAGCCGACCCAGGCATTGCTTTATCATTGTTCAGATTTTACATTTCGCAGATTATACTGTAATTGCCTTTCTACCAAATCCGTGCACCAGGTAACTTCTTAAAGGCAATAGATGCTTAAGTCATCTATGCATCTCTAGCTCTTAATATGGTGTCAGGCAGTACTTTTTAAGTGAATGTTGAGTGAATTTACCCTTCACTGTCTCACCAGGAGAGTGGCCTATGGCCTCAGAAAGGGGATTTCCTTATCTCACTTTCATGATTTTTTTGGGGGGGTTTGATGTTCTTAAAAAATAGGTTAAAACAGGGACAAGCTAATACCTCTCTTGAAAAAGTCCACTACTCTTAGAGGACACCTGCAGACTTATGTCTACCTGACCAGGGGATGAGTTAATTAACAGCTCTTTTGGGTTTATTGTCAGCAGCTGCTGTGAATCTTTACAACTTTAGGACTATGAATTCAAATTTT